ACCCTCCTATATTCTATCTTACAGGAATTCCTCCCCAGTCCTAATTTATTGATAGGACTCTTGCTGTGTTTTTTCGGCAGTTATGGATCCTGATGCGAAAGTTACATATGCATATAAATATGTGTATATTTCCGTCATTTTTGTGGAAATTTGGGACGTGAACGCTGAGAAGATAAATTGGCGAGACTGGCATAAGATGGCGTCTCCCAGGGAACAGCCATATTTTTAGCAACTAAATTTGGGCCTTACTGCATACATGAGCACACGCACTGTGACTTGTTTTTGAACTAATGCTGAATTTATTGAAGTTGTAACTCCAAAAACCTTTGTTTTTCCTAAGCCTGTAATATACAACTCACAGGTCATATTACCGTATTTATAAGTCTAGCTGTATCTTATTTGCAGTTAAGGGCTAATTTTTTGTTGTTGTTTTTGTATCCCCGCTAAATGAGCCGGTCAGTTTGACGTCATAAATTCCCCTAAATATTTAACATCGTGTACCAGCTTGACTAATTCCATTCCCTTAGCTTTTGGCATTTTTACCCACAATTACAAATTTGATTCTCTCTGGCGCTCCACACCTCTGAGGAGACAGACTTAGAAGGGCAAGGGACAGAATTGCGAGCCCTGAGTCAGTATTTACAAAGCTAATAAGTGTGGAATTATTGACTAAGCCAGAAGCTTTTAAGCATCCGCTTTCAACCTCAGTCCATCACGTTCTCTTAAATGGTTTTAATCAGAAATCTTCTTACATCAATCAATCTCTCTTCACCCACCTTCCTGCTCATGTCCCCTGTTATTGGTACCCTCACAACTAAAAGCTGCCCGATTATGCCTCTTGGCTTTGGTTTAAATTTATGCCCACAGATGCCCAGTGGCCCGAGGACTGCCGTCCAGCACCTCATCCCCCTAATACACTCACGGTCCTGTTTCCCGAAGGCGCTTCCTTTATTCCTGTTTGGAAAAGGGCGGAGGATGGTCCTTCCTTAATGAGCCCTTTTGCTTCTTTGTAAGTTATTTTTCCTGTAACATTATTATGAGTTTTGGTTGTGGTAAAGCACACGTAATGTAAAATTGACCGTGTTAATTAACGCTTCCTAAGTGTCCCAGGTGATTCTTCACAGCTTGCCTCCCTCCTCTCCGTGGAGGGTCTCGCTACATAATTGTGAATATTAGAGGAATTAGAGAATGGTTTTCTTCCTTCCCGCTGCCTGATTTGCCAGCCTACCTGCCTCTGTGCCCGAGGCCATGGCTTCCCTCCGTTTTCAGTGAAAGGGTCGCCCACGCTAACAGGGCCCCGCTCCACCATCCTCCGGCTGTGCCTGCCCTGTGAGGGGGACATGGCCACATGGAGCTTGTCCCCTCCCCGGCCTCACTTAGGGGGCCTAGGTCCCTGGAATTCCCTTTCTAAATGGCCCAAACCAGCTCCCACGGCCTGCGAGGGGTTGTTCTCAGAGCCAGGGGCCGTGGTGTGTGACTGTCTACCTGGGAGAGGATGTCTGCGAGGGTGGAGAGCTGGGGGGGGGGCGAGTAGGTGGGGCTTGGATGTTCCCTCTGCAGGGAGCGAAGCAGAGGGGGTGCAGCCAGGGGACCGGTTCTCTCTAAGCCAAGTCACTCTGGCAAGGGACTCAAGGAATCAGAGAGATTGCTAATTTGAACCTCGCCGTTAGATAGATGGTGGCTGTGCGTTTGTGGAGGGAGGGAGATGATATTCTACTCAGCAGCTTGCTTGGCGGCTCACGTCTGGACCCTGAGACGCACGGTATGGAGGCCTCCGCTTGGCCTGCTGGCCCCATGACTGCCCACTCCAGCCGGATGTTTGCAAGTCCCGTGAACCCTCTGCGATGACGGTCCCTGGTGGCCTTCGGTTGGGCCACGTCTCCGCCGGCATCTTTCTTGACCTGTGAGCAGCCGGTGACACGACCCCTTTCTTCCCTTGAGTTCCCAGATATCCCACTGTCGCTTGCGTCCTGCCCCCCCCGACCCCACCCCCAGCATCTTCCTGCCATCCACCCAGGTGTCCAGTCCAAACCCAGGAGTCCTCTCGTTGCCTCGCAGCACACACGCAGTCAGCCCACACTTAGGGTCTCTGGCCCCCCATTTGCAACTCATCCCCCGCTGCTCACTGCTCTTCACTAACGGTTTCCCAAGTCAGGACCATCTTCCCCTGGACCATCTATCATCCACTCGGACCCCTCCTCTCTGTGGACTACACCGAACAGCAGCCCCGTGGACTTTGAAAACCACAAATCAGACCGCAGGACGAAACCTTTCGGCGACGTCCCTTCACACTAAAGTGAAGCCCAGACTCTCCCACGTGCTCTACCCACGAAGCCCTCCACCCCCCTGCTTTCTCTCTCCCCGCTCCCCGCCCTGCCCACCACCGTGCCCGCTCACTCAGGAACATACCAGGTACCCCCTCACCAGGTTCCTCTTCGTCGTAGTTATCGATCGCCTTGAAACGTCATATTAGTTCTGGGGCTGATTTGTTTTCTGGGCCCGTCTTCTGCGTCAGCCTTCGGGTCCATGAAGGCAGGACCTCGCCTGCCTTGTTCATCACTCTGCAAACAGTGTGACAATTTGATCAATCCCTTTCAAGATAAATGCACGTGACGTATATGCAATTCTTTGAAGGGTTTCACATGCCTCCGATAATATGTAAAACCCACAAATTATCACGAGGACTACAAAAATTCACCGCTGAACTGAACACGATGGTATGAGTACCACAGGTTTCTCGTGTTTTTCTGTCGTCCCTACACTTGTTTTTGCATTTTCCCACGTTTGTCAAGTCACCTCCGTAGTAAGAGAGCAGCGTTAGCTTCTCAGGCCAGCCGAGCTTCCCAATTTAGGAACTTCAGCCGGAGGTTCCAGGCTGTAACCAGGGAATCGGGGTGTGCTTTCCGGGGCTGGGCAACAGCCCCCGTTTCAACCATCTTAAACCCATCTCGTGGTCAAGCTTCACTGACCTGTCCGTGGTAAATATCCAGCCTCTGCCTTTTCACCTAGAATGTATCACAAAATCCACAACCTAAGCATCATTCGTTCTTCACGTTTAGCCGGCTTCAACAATCTCGTTCTTCATAGTACTTTCTTGTTTCAAATTTGCAATCCTGGTACCTGTACCTTTCACCTAGATCGTGTTATCTGTGGGAGTCTGTGCCTCCTTCACCTGTCATCACTCATCATCCCGTAAACACCCCATTGTGTTGGTGTTTGGGGGAGACTCTTGCTGTGTGTGTATTGATTCTGTAAACTTCCGGCATCCTCCGTGTTCCTGATCGCCTTGGCAGGGTGCTCCTAGGTTTCATGCACGGAAAGACAATTTTGGTCTCCTTATTTCCAACAGCTCTGCCTTATTTTGTTTCCATGGTTTTTGTTTGTTTTTGCCTGAGCGTCCAGAGAAACGTCACGTGACAGCGGCCGCTCACATCCTAGTTTCGTTTCTCCCCTTAAAGAGAGAGCACTGGTGTTCTGTTGCTAAGCGTGATGTTGATGGATGACCTGAGGTCCTGTGGCATCTCTTCCTTAATTCACTGCTTCCTTACTGGTCCTCATCCAAGTGCGCTGGGCCTGGCAGTACAGATGAGCACCGAGGGCCCCCCGAAGAGCAGTTTGTGCGGCGTGGTGCCATCAAAAGACACACTGCGGCGCTCTGCCGAGAGGCGTACATGTGGTGGGGACACTGATGAACATGTGCCAAGGGTTTTCATCCGGAATGGAGGGATGCTGAATTCCCTTTTTAATGCTTCTCCAGCGTTAAGTGATGTAGGGTTCTTCTTCTTTGACTTGTTGGGGTGATTTAGCACATTAATATATTTCCATTCAAGAAATACTAGAGTGCAATACTACAGCAAGCCAGGCGTTTTCCTACCATTGTCACAGTCATTGTGTGACTTTTGTAAGGTGTTGTAGGGCTTTGTCATGTTTTTAGTATCGATTGGTAAATAGGAAATGGTTTCTACAGCACTGGGATGAATTTTGCTTAATCGTGGCCTGCTCATCTTTAATTTTTAATTTCTAAATCAATGGCTCTTATTATTAAGGAATCAAACGATGCAAAAGCGAGTAACGTGAGAAAGTTCCCATCCGATTTCCCTGTAGCCTCAGGGATATTCCCTAGGGATGGATAGTTCCGGGGCTTTTTCTTTTTTCAGTTTTAGGAAGCTTTTACAATTCATTCGCAAGCATTTTATGTAGGATTCTCTTATCGGTATTTGGGGTTGGGGTACAGGTGTCACAGTGGAGAAGCCACCCCTGGCGCCACACCAGGCTGGCCTCTCCTGCTAAGTGACACTTGGTGGCAGTTCTTGACCCCTGTGTTCTGTGTGGGCAGCGTGGTGTTCCCTCCAGCTGTGGGCGTGCCGGGCGCCATGCAGAGGTAGCTGGGATTCATTTTTTCCACAAGTATTCATTGAGCACTTGCTTGGCTCCATGGGACTTACACGCCAGGCAAGGGGCAACTGGTAAACCAAATGAATGAGTGTGTTTGGTGGTGATAAGAGCCAGGGAGGGAACGCAGGGAAGGGCGTGGGGAATGGTCCCGGGAGAGGGCACCCCAATTATTGTGGGCAGGAGGGTCCCGGGTCGGGAGGAAGAGGACATGGCTGAAAGAGAGTGCAGACAGGAGGGAGAATGAATGATCTGGAAAGACTTACAGCATCAGTGGCTCTGGCAGAGATCACGTTGGACAAAAGACAGGCTCGTGAGCGTGCCTTCTGCACGCCTCGGTGTGTGTGTGCCGAGGACACAGACGGGCAACGCGGGGCCGTCTCGGACAGTGGGGACAGCAGGTGCCGAAGAGGCAGACACAGTGGGCACGTGGGCACGTCCTGTGTCTTCCTCCAGGGCTCTTATCCCCCAGGGGTTCTGTGTATGAAAATTCGCCACCCTGAACTTCCGTGGTGTGTGTGTGTTCTATACGAATGTTACGTGTCAACAGTTGATTATTATTTTTTTAAATAGTAATGCACTAACAGAACGCACCCCTTCATTCTCAGGTGTGAAAGCCGAGGCCCAGAGACGTGATGTGATTGGCCTGCAGACATGCAGCTCGTGGCAGAACCGGACCTGGAAGCCAGGTGCCCTGGCGCTCAGAACATTCCGCGGCCCTCGGAATGGAACAGGTACCGTTCCTCCCCTGGGGGCCATGGGTCAGTCCATTCTGCCCGGCGCTGCCTGGAAGCCTCAGCTCACAGCTCTGACAAGTCAGCGACTTAGGGACAAAATCAAAGCTGGGTATGAGGAAAAAGGTGAGGTTTGAAACCTAACCCTCATGATCCCAAGACAGAGAACAAGTGCCCTGCCCCGTGGCAGCAGTCGTCTACTCAAGGTGGCTCCATCTCTGGCCGGGTCATGTCCCTCTTCAGACAGCTTGGTGGTGAGACACCTTCTGGCTGTTGGGACAGCCAGGCCTCGTGCAGTGCAATTCACAGTATGAGGAAAATCAGGCCTCTTGCAGAGGATGAATGGGGGTCGGGGAAAAAGGGGGTCAGGAAGAGCAGTCGGGGGGCTTTTGTAGAGATATAGGAGGGAGTTAATGAGACGGCCTGGGGCCTGGCCGGCGGGACCTGCTGGGTGGGTGTGACATCACCTGGGTTAGTGGCTGGTGAAGTTGGTCCGCAGTGATGGCAGAAAAGGCAGACTAAAAATGAACACCTCAAAATGGGGAGGAGAAGAGGGCTCCTGCTTTCTGTGGGCCCGCTTGCTGTGTATATTGAGGGATGTTCTTAAGACCAGTGTTGACAAAGCGACTCTTCTACTGTAAGTTATCCTGTGTGTTTTACGTAAATGTGGGTACCGGTCGCTGCTGATGTGCGTTGCCCCTCGAGGAGTCTGAGCCAGTGTCTTTTTCAGCATTCAGTGATTATTTCTCGAGCACCTACCGTGCGCCAGGCACTGTTGCGGGCACCTC